GTGTGTGTATATATATACATATATATATACATATATATATATATAAAATGATTCTCTTAAAAAATAAAAAGGAAGTTACAGAGTACTCGCCCTGACTGGACAGGGCAGTGGGTCTCACCTGTGGCCCCACGTAAAAAACCTGTGGAGGTTAAAGAGACAAGTGCCCTCTCCTCCTAGGCTAACGCCTCTGGTCCTGATGGGAGCCTCTTCCAAAGTGATCAGAAGGTTCTCTGATGATTCTGCTGCACAGCCAAGTCCAGCACCACAGGGTAAGTGTGAGGGATGCTTAACTCACAGGGACTCCCCTGCACACGGGCCACTCACAGGGACTCACCACAGAAACGCAGTCGCCATTCAATCCCTCGGAACTCTTGCTGACCAGGCTGGGCACCTGACTCACAGCTCCAACTACCTCCCAGACTTCCACGGTGGGTTCACGCCCACAGGGAACTCAAAGCACTTAGGAGTAAAAGTGACTCACCAAAGCTCTTTGCAATTTCCTCAGTTTCTCTACAGGCTCAGGGTCATAGCCCAGAATCCTCTGCATTTTATTGCTCTTCAGGACCAACATCATTTCCAGCATAAAGCGAATCCTAAAAATAAAAACAAAAGAAAGAGAAAGCCATCATTTCAAATTGTCTATATAACCGACAATTTGGGAAGAAATAAACCAACTCTGCACGTGGCCATGACTTCTGGTAAACCTGATGGTCTCAGGCAGACCATCCCCACTCCAGCCTCTGCAGTAATTTAACATAAATCTGGCATCGGACCTCCACCAGGGCCTTGACCACTACCCACAGATCTCTGGTTCCCTCTCCTGCTCCCCCCCTCCCCCTGCAACTCCTCCCACTGATCCCTACACATGCGCTCCTCCCTCCTGACCCTGTGCTCTGAGTCACCCCTCCTCTCCACGACAGTTGCCATTCCTTCCCCCACTCCTGGCCTTTTCATTTCTTTAACTTTTCATCTGGAATAATGTCATACTGAGAGAAAAGTTGCAAGAACAGTACAGAGACTTCCCACATACCCCTTTCTGAGATTTCTCCAAATGTTGACTTTTAATTGATATAATTCATGAACCATCAAACACCCATTCAAAGTGTACACTGAGTATACTTAAGGTTGTGCATCCATGTCCACAATTTTAGAACGTTTTCATAGCTCACCAAAAAGAAGCTCCAAACACATATTAAAAGCCATGCCCTGATTCCCCACAACCCGCCAGCCCTAGGCAACCAGGAGAGTACTTCTAATCTCTGCTGACTTCTGGTTTTTAAATTTATTTATTTTAAAAAACATATTTTTATTGCCCTAGCCGGTTTGTCTCAGTGAATAGAGTGTCAGCCTGTGGACTGAAAGGTCCTGGTTTCAATTCCGGTCAAGGGAGTACCTAGGTTGCAGGCTCCTCCCTGGCCAGGCCTTGGTCAGGGCATGTGCAAAAGGCAACCAATCGATGTGTGTCTCTCACACTGATATTTCTCTCTCTTTCCCTTTCTCTTCCACTCTCTCTCTAAAATGTCAATGGAAAAATATACTTAGGTGAGTATTAAAACAAAATAAACAAATATTGATTTCAGAGAGGAAAGAGAAAGGAGGGAGAAACATCAATGATGAAAGAGAGTCATTAATCAGCTGCCTCCATCATGCCCCACACTGGGAATGGAGCCTGCAACCCAGGCATGTACCCTGACTAGGAATCATAGGTCCATGCTCAATCACTGAGCCACATTGGCCACACTGACTTCTGTGTTTTCAACCTGACCTCTGGGCATTCAATACAGGGGAAACTTCTCTGGAACACTATAGCTTGTCTCCAGTGACCTTCCTCCTGCTCTTCTTCTCAAATGTCTGAATGTCAGTGATTCTAACCCTGAGGCTTCCCACCTCAGGGCATCAGGACCTCCTCAGAGGGCTCAGACCACAACTTCTCCCAGTGAATATTACAATTTCAGGAAAGAGCCCATCCTACCTTTTGAGCCTGGGTCTCCTGCATGTACTCCTGTCCACTGAAGTCCCAAGCTGAGAACATGAGCTGACCCTGGCCTTCCCTCCCACCCATACCCTTCTGGTCAGTCCTCACTCCTGCACCCACACCCACTGCAAAGGGAAGCTTCTCTGGAACCCTTTGGCCTGTCTCCAGTGATCTTCCTCCCGCTCTTCCTCTCAAATGTCTGAATGTCAGTGTTTCTAACCCTGAGACTTCCCACCTCAGGACCTCAGGACCTCCTCAGAGAGTTCAGATCATAACTCCTCCCAGTGAATATTACGGGATTTCAGGAAAGAGCCCAGCTTCCCTTTTGAGCCTGGGTCTCCTGCATGTACTCCTGTCCCCTGAAGGCCCAAGCTGAGAACATGGGCTGACCCTGGCCTTCCCTCCCACCCATACCCTACCTGGTCAGTCCTCACTCCCACACCCACACCCACTGCAACTGAGCTAATCCTCCCACCGCCATCTCCGAACCCTGAAGGGGGGTATACCTGCCTGACCACCTCCATCTTCTACGTTGTAGCCAAAGGGACCATTAGCACGAAGACTTCCCGTGCCATTTTCCCACTCAGAACCCTTCAGGTGCCTCCAGGATAAAAGCCCAAGTCCTTGCAATGGCCCCTGCCCTGCTCCCCTGTGGATCCCACATGAATGCTTTTCCTGTTTCTCACACATCCCTAGGGGCTCCCCCACCCTCCCCTATCTCTAATCTGCAGAAAAGGAAACGAGGCCAGAGCCATGCCAAGCTCTGCTTTCGAAGGGGAAACTGAGGCTTGGAGACTCAGGTCACATTGCTGTCCAGGGGCTGAGCAGAAGTCCAGGTAAGCTGACACCTGAGTCCCGAACCACATGGCCTTTCTCAGTAAACAGTTTTTGAATAGATGAGTGTTAAATAAATCAGTTCTTAAACTCACAAAATATCCTCGTTCTTAGTAATGAAACAAGGCTTGTTCACATCCTATATAATAAAAGCCCAGCGACTGAACGGTGGAACGACCAGAACAACGACAGGTCAACCAGTAGCTAGGACACGCATTGACCACCAGGGGGCAGACACTCAACGTAGGAACTGCTGCCTGATGGTCAGTGCGCTCCCACAGTGGGAGCGCCGCTAGGCTGACCAGGATGAGCGGCGCTTCCACAGCAGACTGATCCCTGCAGGCCATGCCCCTAATCAGTATACAATCCCCCTGCACCAGGCCTCTAGTCTATATAATTAAAGCCTAATATGCTAATTGTCTCTCCAACCGTTCGACCATTTAACCAGTCGCTATGATGCGTACTGACCACCAGGGGGCAGACGCTCTGACTGGTAGGTTAGTTTGCTGCTAGGGTCCGGCTGATC